TCAGCGCACAAGTGTTTTGCAGCAGTTGCACAGGGGCCAGCGCGGCTGGCATCGCGCGCCAGGCGCCTGCTGCAGCTACTCGCCAGCCTCAAGTATGTTGGTGTCATGCAAGGAGGAGTTCGTGCTGATCAGGCGCGCGACCTCGACCACCTTTGCGTGAAGTTTGCAAGATCCAAGCCCCGCCGCGTTCTGGGCCATGCAAGTGCATGCAAATCTTTCGCTTCGGTCCAGGGCTTAACAGATGCACGCATACTTACACGGCAAGTCAGAACATGATCTAGACAACAGAAATAACAGCGCATATGAGCTCGAACGAGAGGTGGGCTTGGTGGTGGGCCATGCTAGAAGGGCCATCGCGGACTTCCACAAAAAGCATCGTGAAAGTTGGCAGGTCTGGGTGATCACTGCTTTGAACAAGGGGGCCAGGCAGGCACGCAGGTTCTGTCAGGAACAAGTCAAGTGTGAGCCCGAAGTTTTTGTGATTGACGGCGCACGGGCAGGCCGTGACCATCATGTACCGAGGCGCCAAATAAATATGCCGCTTCGGAGATGCACGACGATTCATGGAATTCGGTTGATTGGTATACGGAGGTGCGAGCCAGCCAACTACACCCCACGGTCAGGCATGGGCGAAGGTCGAACAGTAGTTATATCATCAGCCTCTCGGCTAAGACCCTTCAACGCTGAGGCCTTGCCGGCTCCGGCACGGTCGCTGCTGTCACCACTCACGAGTGATCCATGGTTTTGAGCCTCGAGTACTTACCCAGATGTGTTCGATCTCGACAGCGTCGCGGCCATCGTCCAAGTCGGCCGCGGCCTCGAGCGCATCGTGACCGAAGACGGTCGAGACAGTCCGTTCTTGGCGCGGTAGCAACCGCGGCATAGCGAAGTGGACGTCTGGTGGAGCCACGAGGCCGGCAGGCTTAGCCTCGTTGAGCTCCTAGTTCCTGGTTCCCGACCGCGACAAAATTTGCCATCTCTTTCTCGTACTTGGACAGGTGGCTGGACGCTGCTTCGGAGATCTTGTGGAAGAGGAGCTCCAAGTGGCAGAATCCCGCGGAAGTAGCGCGGTTCCTTCGGAAGCCAGCGCGCGCCCCGACGATTCGACGCACGACGGAGGGAGGTTGCTTACCATCGAGGAGGGCCCCGCGAAGAATCCCTGAGCGATGTGGACCTCCTTAACGCACGGCCAACAGGCAGTCACGAAGGACGCGTTGCTCACAGAGTCGGGCACATCAAAGAGACAGAGACCCAACCTGCTCCGTCATACCCACTACCAAAAGTCCTGCCCACAGAGGTGTGTCAGCACCGCCACTATTTCACAGTAGGTGCTGCACCTCTCGAGACCACAGAGGCCATCCACATCGATGAGGACGGTCACTGCGCGCGCGCGGCACGCGACGTCCTTGACTGCAGGTGGGTGGGCAAATTTGAAATGGGCGCGAAGTAACTCAGACCCATCTAACAAGATTCGGACCACCCGCATGAGGCTGACCCTCCGAGGCCTCAAGCACGCCGACGCCGATCTCATCGCAACGTACGAGGCACCTTATCTCGACTTCCCCAGCGCGCGACTGTCTCCGATACCGCCTGCCGAGGATGGACGATCGATGCGCGGGGCACCAAGAAGGCCTTCCTGCAAGGCGTCAGCTACCAGGAACTGGCGCGGAGGCAGCGGGTGAAGAAGAGCGCGAGGTCAACGTCGAGCCCCCCCTGGCTCCGTCGCAGTCCTGCCCGATCCAACTCCGAGCTCGCTTCAAAGAGCCTGGCCAAACTGTGCCTCAGTCTGTGTTTGGCTCTTGCTTTCCACTCATCACACGAATCGATCTGCACGTCTACTTGACTGCATTTCAGCGCCACGCAGCAGCGCCGGCGCGCGGCCGTGCCCTGAAGCTCAACGCACTCGCGAGATGCGCACAGGCCACGCCATTACGCATCTATTGTCCACCAATGCGTTGCGCCCGCAAGCTTTAAATGCGCAGCGACGCAGCATTCGAAAAAGGAACAGAAAGAGGGCACCGACGCAAGACGAGATCTGTTAGGAGCCACCTCTCTACGCATGGGCACTGGAGACGCGCGGACCCACCAACCGTTCGTCGGCAAGCAAACGTGCCACTTACCTGACTGGCTGCACGGGGCGCTCACAACAGTTGCGCGAAGCGCTTTCACAAGTGGGCGCATGGCCGCGATCTGTTCAACAGATCACGGCCTCGCTCTGGCCACCACGCTCCATGAAGTATTCAGGGACCTCGTGGCCCTGAAGCGGCGCGTCGCCAGCGAGATGGTCAGCAGCCGCTCGCGCAGCAAATTGAGCTCTGCCTCGTGGGGGCCGTCGCAGCCGTCGCAGCAACGAGACCAAAGCCTCCGGCAGAACGCTCGCGACTGCCGCGTGCTTGCTGGCTCCGCGACTGCCTGAGCTTGGGCGCGAGCGCCGGCCGACCTTCAACAACTCGCATTTTTCATGCGTGCAGGAACTGCGCGCGCTCCTCTCCCTTCAGTGCCATCGGCCCTTCCTCGTCCCATCTCTGGCGGAAGGTCTTTCGCATGGCGCTGGGCAATTGAGAGGCATGTTGTAGCACGGCGGCCCGGGAGAGCATGTCGTCGGGAGGCCACGTTGCAGTGGTGATCATTCGCTGCGACACGAGCGCAGGTGAGCGCGCGCGGACATGGCGGCCACAGAAGTAGCAGGGAGGGCCAGGGAGAAGCATTCACGATTCGCTGCCATCTGCGTCATCAGCAGGCTTGCGCGCCGCCCGGCCGAAGCGCTGTGAGCTTCCGGCCGTAGCTCGCGCGCCGCCTGGCCCGCGCGCGGGCCCCGGGCGCGCGCCTCCGCGCGTTGGCGGCCGCCCGCTGCCGCGCGCGCGCGTTGCCATGTCTCGGAGTAAGCCGCCGGGGCCCGCGGGTCCGCCGCAGCCTCGCCGCCCGCGCTGCACGCCCCCATCTGCCTTGTCATTCGCGGAGGAAGTGGCATCATCAGAAGATGCGGCACTCGCGTCGACTGCAGGTCGACGCTCGATCTCCGACGCCCCCTCCAGGCACCTGGGCAAGTGATCCGCCCCCCCGCATGCTTCCGACGACGCCGCCGCCGCGCAGGGCCCGAGCTCGCGACGCGGAACGCCCGCTGCAGCAGTCCAGCGAGACGAGGCGCGCGGTGTCGACGTCATCTGTTTCACAAGGCCACGCACAGGCTAAAGGGCTTCCCCGTTCCGGCTTGCGCCCGCCATCTCCTTGCAGACGCCGCGCGGCAGCCGTGTCTTGCTCGCGACTGGCGCCTGCCAGCGCGGCGCCCGCGCTGGCGCCGAGTCCGCCGAGCGCGCCGCCTCCCCCAGAAATGCCGGCCACGGCGCTCTCGGAGGACGCGCGGCCGTTCACCGAGCTCGACGAGGATTGCGCGGCTCCAGCGTCAAAGTACTCCGTCGCACCTCGTTCAGCCTTGGCGCGATGGATCCCGAGCGTCGCGTGGGGTTCACATTCGAAGCGCGAAGAGTCCACGGCTGGACACATGATGCGAGATGATGCGAGGCCCGCGCATGCGTCCCGCCGAGATTCGCGCTCGCGACGTTCACGACAAAGCGCTACCGTCGTGGAGCCCCCAAGCGGCGGGGCGAACGCAGGCGTTATTGAACGCTGGCAGACGCGGGGTCACGGCCCAGATTCGGTCAGGATCCGTTGGCCGCGCTCGACGATGCATTGTTCGGCGCGCCCTCAGCTCCATGGACCCGCCCGCCTGGCTACAAGCGACCGGCGGCGCTGTCGCCGCGTGCAGCGCGCTCCCCGTGACCTCCAGATGAGCGCGCGCCGCGCTTTCCACCTCGTCGCCACCCCTCGCCAGAGGATCAGCCCCAGTCGCCTTCTCGCAAAGCTGAATGCGACGAGGTCGGCGCGGCCCCCGGTTCGGGCTGATGACCGACGTTGCCTGGCCCGTCGGCCCCGCGCCCGTTCCAGGCGCCCGTGGCGCCCAAGGGGCGGGGGCCATGGCGCCCGTCGGCCCCCGGGGGCACGCTGCGGCGATGGCTTGCAATGGCAGCGGCGACAAGGACAAGAGCGAGCCCGTGCCAGACGACACCGCCCTTTCCAAGAAGAAGAAGAAGAAAACCCGCATGGTTGGGGAGAATGTCAAGCGCCTGCGCGCCGGCGCGGCCCTCCGCGAGGCAAGCGCCGACGAGCCACGGCAGCCGCCCTCGCCCAGTGCTGAATCGGCGCGCCCTGCGCGGAGGTCGCCTGCGGCGGTCGTGATCGGAGCGGCTCCCGCAAATCTTGACAGCGGTGAAGACTCGAGGCGATAGTGCCGAAATAGCGTGCACATTCCTCAAAACCTTGCTCCATCCTTCACCTTCTCTCCCACCTACCAGGTCAAGGCACTACACCTCCACCTGGCCGCTCACGCGACCCCGGCCAGGGCCATCATCTTGCCTACGCAGGACGGGCTTTCAGACGCCAGGTTTGCGGCCCGAGGCCACCAACGTCACATAATGCGGCACATGATAGCTCACGCCATCATCACTCACACGCGCGGGGTCCTCGACTGCAGCTCTTAGCAGCACGAGCGATGTCACCATGTGCAGTGGATGAGCCAGCGACCCTACACGTGCGCCCGTCAGGTTAGACAGCGACGGCGCTTTGCCGAGTCTAGAATGTGCTTGTGGTTGGACAGTTATGGTTATGTTCTTCCGTGGGTCTCTCCTACTCGCCGGAGCTGTTCGATCGCCAGCGCAATCTCGATTCAAACAGGAGGGGTCGCCGCTGTTTGGCCCGAGCGTCGACGCATATCGACTTACTGTATGACGAGTAGCGGCCCCGCAATCCAAATCTTAATGCCGCCATGATTCTCCCGACCGCTTCCAACCCCCGCAATATAGTTCCTCCTCCTCTTCCCGCACCCCCTCCTCCTACCGCACCTCTTCATCCTCTTGTTCTTACCCCCCTCCCGTCGCTCCTGTGTATTCCTCCTTGTGCCCCCCCCCGTCCGCCAGCGGGCGGGGCCGCCGGCGCGAGCCGAGGTCTTGACCATGCTGGACAACTGCGGCAGTTCGGTGTCCGCGCCGCCGGTTCCACCGGACTCAGCCAAGAGGTAGGAGGAGGAGGAGGAGGAGGAGGAGGAGGAGGAGGAGGAGGAGGAGGAGGAGGAGGAGGAGGAGGGGGAGGGGGAGGGGAGGAGGGGGGGAAACACGACGACTAGTGGGACTTGGCGTCTTTCCCTGGTGATTTGCTGGAGGAGGATGTGGAGGAGGAGGAGGAGGAGGAGGAGGAGGAGGAGGAGGGAGGAGGAGGAGGAGGAGGGAGGAGGAGGAGGAGGAGGAGGGAGGAGGAGGCAGAGGAGGAGGAGGAGGGGGAGGGGGATGAGGATTGTGGGGGGCTCGGGTTTGGGGGTTTATTTGAGATTATTGTGGCTTCCAGTGGTTCCCTCGGGGAGGAAATCAACGACTCGCCTTCCCAGGAATCTTGGTATCGCGAAGTATCCGGGCGAAGCATCCATCCATATGCAAGTGTGAATGCCGCAATGCAGGTGCTACGGAGGGGGAGTTCCTCCTGTGCCCACGACACTTGTGAAGGGTGTGCCGAAATAGGCGCGGTGACGCATCCGACCCCGGCGCCTACGGAGCTCCCTATGTGGCCACGAAGCGTGCGAAGATTGTGCCGAAACGGAGGCGGTCACGCCTGCGCCTCCCACGGTGGGGCCGTCTGTGAGCCTAGGGGGCCGCGAAACTTGTGAGGAGGGTGCCATGCTTGGCGCGGCCACGCATGCAAACCCTGCCACTGGGGTCTTCGGTGGAGCTCCCCATGGGGCCACGCGACGCGCGGTCACGCATGCGAATCCTCCTGCGACTGCATGTTGATGACGTTGACGTTGACGTGAACGTTGGTGATGGTGGCGGTGCTGATGCTGATTATGATTATGTTGATGATGCAGATGATGATGTTGATGATGATGCTGATGCTGATGCTGCTGATGATGATGATGATGATGGTGATGATGATGATTTGGACTACGATGGTGATGGTTATGACGAGGGTGATGAAAACGATGATGGTGATGATGGTGATGATGATGATGATGATGATGATTATACTGATGATGGCGCTGATGACGCGGATGAAGCTGATGATCAGGATGTTGATGATGATGATGATGCTGATGATGATGATGATGATGATGATGATGGTGATGATATTGATGCTGATAATGGTGATCATCATGATCATGATGATCATGATGATCATGGTGATACTGGTATTGGTGATGCCGATGATGAGGTTGATGAGTATGTGAGCACAAAGGTAATTATAGTAGAAAGAAAAGGTCTGCAGCTTTCTCGGACCGAGCCCCCCACGCGCTGCGCGCCTGGCGCGCCCGCGGCTGATGCGCGGAGGGCCCGCGGCCACAGCGCTGGCGGTCCACGAGCCTGCCCCTGGATCCGAGCGAGGCCTACTCAGGGGCCACTCGCAGCGGTGAGGAGGCCGCACCAGAGGTGGCGGAGGACCCAGAGGGGCCCCCCTGGGTCGTCATCCCCGACAACACCCATCGCGAGGGGCGGCTGATGTCGAACCTGCGGTTCGGGTCGCCCCTGTCGCTGGTAACCACTGCTACGCAATGTGGGCCGCCCCAGGTTCAAGCGAGGACGTCGTCGGTGCGCGCAGAGGATGCGCGGTCGCGTGGCCGGCGATCGTTGGGGACGGCAGGTGCTCTAGCGGGCGGCATCACCTGCAATGGTTCCCGTCGTCGGGCGAGACAATCGACAACTTCTTCGACGAGCAGCGGGACTTCCCATGCGCTGTCAAGGTCTTCGATTGACCACGGCACACTGACAACGTTACCATCTGGGGCTCTGCATCAGACCGAGAACGTTTTGCTCCGCTTGTGGCTGCGAGTTGCCTATAGCCAGGGCCCGCGCCGCAGCGCGTTTGCGAGGCGCGAGGCCCGAGTCATCGGCGCCAAGTTTGCGCGGTTCGATGGCCCCGTCGATGGCGGCACCCTGACGCAAGGCGACCTGAGCGACCTCGTGCTGGAGAAGCTCGTCATCGTGGTGCCCTGCCGTCTGCCTCCCCTGCGACGCCGGCTTGCACGCCTCCGCATGGTATGTCTCGGCGACGCTGCTGTCGGCCCTGAGCGAGGAGATGCAGGCAGACATGGCCCGCATGAAGGTATCGCCGGCGTTTCCGGCGCGACTCGCCGAGAGCTGCGCGGAGGACGACTTGATCGAGTTCTTCGATTCAGCTGGTGAGGCTGCGCAGCCAGACCTGCTCGAGCCAGCCGATCTCGCGCCGCGGCCCGACGACTGGAACATCGGGATCCTGCTCCGAGCCGTCGCGTTCCCCGACCCCGCCGCCAGGGGCGACCCGGGGCGCATCGGCTTCCAGCTCTCCGTTGACGGGCAGATCGATGGGGGGAAGCATCTCGCCGCTGACGAGCAAGATGGCGAGGGCACGGGAGTCGACGAGGTCGACGCAGCCCGCGAGGCTGCCGCGCAGGAGTGGGCAGGTCGGCCGCGCGGCGCCAGCCAGCGTGGCAGGCAGCCTAGGCGCGGCGGGGGCTCGCGGCCCCGCCCGTCAGGCGCCTGCCTACACGGGGCGACGCTGCCGCTGGCCGCGCCCGCAGAAAGGCGCGCGCCAGCCGCCCTCCCGCGACAGGCGGCCGCGCGGGGCGCGCGGCGAGGCGGGGGCCTGCAGTGAACGGCGCAAGAGAGCCGCAACCCCGCGGCGCGCCAAAGTGTCGCGCGACGATCCGCAGAACGTTCTGAGAAGCTTCCAACGCGACCTGCTGGAGACCGTCGGCGGCCGACTGAAGGGCCCCTCGAGCCGAATTCTGCGGGGGCCCCACCTGCCGCTCAAGGGTCACCCCTCTAGGCGGGGCCCTCAACGAGCTTTCTGGCGCCTGTCCCATGCGCTCGAGCAGATCCCGCTTCCAGAGCTCGCCCGCGGCGCCGCCCAGGACGGTGGCTCAGCTTCTCGCCCCCCCAGTCCAGGGCGGCAGAGGAGGCCCTGGCGACGGCGGGGGTGGGGGCTTCTCCAGCGGCCCGACCAGCTTTTTTCGCGCGAGCAGGGCAACTGCGCGGCCCCAGACAGGAGGGCCAACCTCGACCTCGGGGCCCGCGTCGATGCGGGCGGCCGCGACGCAGACGAGGTCATCCAGCTTTTGACGCCGCGGGAACCGGAGAAGGTCGGCGGCTCCAAGGAGGCCAAGGAGTACGAGCCCACGCTGGGCGACCTCCTCATCGGGGGCGCAGCCTCGAGCTCCGAAGAGTCGGGCCCAGTGGCCAGGACCAACCGTGCCAATTGAGGAGCAGGGCTCCTGGCGCTCAACGGGGCCATCTAGCGCAAACCGCAGAGGTGGTCTGCCCACGTCGACGCCGCGGCTTTCGCCGAGTCAACGATATTGGCATACAACCTCCCCGCCAAACTACATCAGCATAGGCCCCTGCAAGGATTCATTTCCACTGAGAGAAGTGCCCCGTTGGGAGACAACCGTGTGAAAATATTGAAGCGTGCCCAAGCACCATTGTCAGGAGTTCAACCCCACGAGTCACTTTGACTATTGCGTCTTGACGATCCTGAACTGTGCTGGTATCTTCTTGGAGATTTCAATACCGCGAATCAACGTAGCTGTTGCGCCCTGACAATCCTGAGTCGCTCCAGAACGCTACTTCTGCCACGTTAGCCATGAGAATCCGTGAAACGATTTTTAATATTTTGAACATGAAGGGCGCGGCGCTCAGGCGAGAGTCACATTTTGAACGAGGAGCCGCCCTCAATCCGTGATACGTGTATGAAGTTGATGTGCTCGGCGAACAGGCGAGAGCCACACTTCGAACATTGGTGACAGTCCTGGATTTTGTTAGGACGAGTGTGCGTGGCGCTCAGACGAGAGCCACATTTTGAAAACAGCCCGCCCTCCATCTGCGAAGCTGCTGCCAGTTTCTACACGCTTCAGGCTCATAAGTGGTAGGGAAGTCTTCGGCGAAACGACTGGCCCGTCCTTGAGTGCGACAGGGAGGAGTCATCAGCAGTTGGTTATGGAGTGTTCGTTCGGGGGGGCATAGAAAACCAGATATTTGTATATCTGAGCCGTCATTGACTCATTCTGCGTGGAGATTCGAAGGGCCTTCATTTTCCCCCCGCCTTTTTCCTTCCTCATGCGGGGGCGGGCCGAAGCCCCAGCCTATGTGAGATGTCTTCCTGCTGCATGTTACTACCAGCTCTTTCCGAACGGACAACACTGGAACATTCAGGGCATCGGAGGTGTGGGATTATGTACGGCGGCGCGGGGGTGAATAGAATCCCCAGCTCAGGAGGGGGTACGTATGTTCTCCGTGCTCGGGCGCTCCATCCCGGTATGCTCTACGTTTTCGGTATTGCCGTGAGGTTTCGGGAGCTTTGGCGGGGGGATTAAGTTCTTGTTGATTCGCGTTTTTGATCCCATGTTTCGACCGCGCCGCCCAGGCTCTTGTGAACATACTGACCGAGATAGCTTACACGACGCCGCACGTCCTGGAAGGGCGCATCCACGATGCGATGAGCCGCTTCCTGCCGCTGCTGCAGGCGTGCAAGACGCCCGAGATGAAGTTGCTCCTGTTCAGGCCCGCCCCCCCTCTCTTCGTCTTTGATCTAGGGCGTTCCAAAAAGAGCATCGCCTTCGGCGCGTCTCGCCTTCGGCGGAACCCAGCGGAAAGCCGGCGGACGTGAAACCAGAGCGGCTCCGCTGGCGGAAGCCGGCGGAAGGCCAGTGGAAGGCGCAGGTCGCACAAGTGAGAGGACCGCATTGTTTGTGGTTCGTGCCGGCCACATGGGCCCCGCTCGCGGACGGCGCCTCCAGCGGCCGCCGGCCCGGCAACCGCGGCTGCTGCGTCGGTCACTGAGGGGGCTGCGTGTGACTGCGGTTGCGGCGTTTCAGTTTCGCTTCGTTTTGCTGCCTTCTATTTATTATTCGCGCGATGTGAGGATCTCTGGCGAGATGGGCCGCTCAAACATTTATAATCATTGGCGCCAGCGGTTTTTTACAGACTGGCCTGCGGCCCATCCCGCCACCAAGCTTGGGTTGTAGATCGAAGAACTTCCGGGGCCCTCTTGGCCTGCTTCTGGGCGCTCGTGCCTCCGAGAGACTCATGGGGGAAGCGCTGGGGAACCGTGGAAGGCACGCCGTGAACTCCGTGGAATTGGAATTTGTGGTCTGGACCCGTAATATCCAATCCTGAAGATTGGGGACTAAAGACTCAGTTCTCGCGGCAGTGGCGGAAATTTCGTGGCACATTATCTGGCGACTGGACAAACCAGCAAACGGGCGGCCTGACGACCGGGCGACCACTCGACGGGCGGACGACCTATAAGCATCCCCGGATCTGGCGGTGACCGACGACAACGTGGAAGTCGCCAGGCCGGTCGTCGGGTCGGGCACCACAAAAGCGAATTGCAACGTAGATTATGGCAAGTTTTTTTGCATGGTATTCCCCGGCCCTTCTCCTCGGCATATTTCAGACAGCGCTGTGCCGAAAAGGCGTGCAAGTGAATCCCGACTTGCGTGACGTCCAGATTTTCTTTCGGGCCTTGCCACGCCCACGCCCCCGCCACGTAAGTGCCTGAATCCGAAGAAAGACCGCTTCTAAATATGATATACAGATGGGCCCTTGCCCTCTCCTTCGCCTCCTGCTTGACCTCATCTTCCTCTCAGTATGAGCAGCGCCAGTGGGGGGTCACCAGCGAGGGGACCCTTGGAAATCGAGGATTCAGGAGGGGTGTGTCGAGGATCGAAGAGGTTTGGGACGTTGCTGGGCGTCTTGGGGAGCCCTGTGGGCTCCAGGGGGTGCAGAGGGTCCAGGGGCCCCGTGGCCTTGAGGATGTGGCGACCCCCCGGCGGTGACCCCTTTGGCACTGCTCGGCTAGTACTTTAAGGATGGCGATTCAGACGTGCAGCAGCGCCTTGGGATAATGTTCATACATGAGCGACGAAGAACATTGAAAACGATCGCACCGACACGCGCGTGAGCTACCCGCGTAAGGTCGCGCGTAAACGCCCTCGTTTCCAATAGAGCGGGCCGCTCTGGAGACACGCGTAAGCCATTGCGTTGGGTCGCTTTGTCCTACCGCGTAAGACCCGTTCGCTTTCGTCGCTCACATGAAGTTCTGGGCCCGCTCGTGGACTTCGTCGTCGTCCCTGAGAATCTCTGATCGCCACATGCATAAACTTTCCCAGCGGCAGAAGTTTGATGTGTTCAGTCGTACCACCAACCCAGGTTTCTCATGGAATGGTCGGCACATGTGTATATATATGTACACATATGTGTGTTTTTCTTGATTGTGTTTCTCTCTCTCTCTATCTCTCTCTCTCTCTCTCTCCTTCTCTCGAGCAACTAGTAGTTGGCCCGCCGGCTCCGAAATCGGCCGGGCGACGTCGCCCCCCATTGTCGCACGTTTTCTTTCCATTTCTCCTGGTGTTTCCC